TTAAGATTTTTATAAATACGACTGATGTGTATTGTATCTGATAAGGTAAACTCCTCGATGTCCTAGGTTTATCTTTATGCCTATTATGATAATCTCGAGGGTAAGTGCGAAGAAGAGATTTAAAGAAAAATTAGTTGATGTCTTGATATTGTTGTATGATGTATTTAAATTTTTTGGAAGTTCACAACTAAAGTTGCTGAGTAGGAAACTATATCTAATCCATTGAGAAACAATTGAGGCATGTCTATTATAATTTTTAAGATTCTCAGGCAAGAGATTTGATTATGCTGGGTTGAGTTGATGTTTTCATGTAACTAATTGAGAGGCAGTTATCTTGAAGTAAGTTTCAATATTTACCTTGTATGAACCATGCAATCTAGAATTTATTTTCTGGACTTTAGACATTTTAGTCGAGGACATTAGACGAGTCGAATATTAAGAAATGAAAGGAATTAATTAATCTAGATAATTAATTAATTTTGAAAGAGAAAGTCGAAGAGTTAATTGATAAGTAAATTAACCGAACAGAGTAATATAGCAAAGTCAGATATTATTTCTGGACTTAGAAATATTTCAGAGAACTCTAGAAAGACTCAATATCAATAACCTCCCAGAATAGCTCATAAATCCTCTAAATCGAGATTAAATGATTTTTAAAATCTAGCGAGCGAATCTAGTAAGATCAGATAATAATAAGAATCAAGTATTTCAATTTGAGCTCGGTATGTAGTACATTTTTCTCAAATATTTATGTAGCTTAAGGAGATTCGGGCCTCCGACAGCTACCAGTCATCCAGCACTTGCCTAGCAGTACCAGCTTATCAGGTGGGGGTCACGTACTGTGTTCCACATCATCTTTAATTTTCGTACTATGTCAAAGGTATGTATGAGTAAGTTATGTCTAACCAGAATGGAGGCATTTGCGAGCCTTAATGATCTCTTTTTTGTTCAAGTTATATCGCCCAGGATTGGAGGCTGAGCGGGCTTTAGTGTTTCACATGTGGTATGTATGAGAAAAGTAATATCGCCCAGAATTAGAGGTTGAT